GAACTCAAGGCGTCTCGGGTGAATATCAAATTCACGAACCAAAGTAGCGACGCCGATCTACTTTGACCCAACAAACCAACCCCAGTGGCGACACCGATCCACTGGTGCAAGCCTAAAAGATATATCAACAGCCTTATCCGATTACATGAACAGAGACTTTCTCACTCTAACATCTCTTGTATTTCTAAGTCAACAATACACAAGCCTCTAGGTCTTATTCATGTCACACAAGTCATTATAGTCATAAACTCCTAACGATTTTCAATCACAACAAGGAACAATCAATGCAACTAATCATGTGCAATAATATCATGACATATCAGATAATCCAAATTAAGAATTATAAACTTAAACAGCGTCTATATAATTCAGAAAATAATCTTTTTCTAAATTAATTCATTTTAATTTTTTTCTCTTAACAATTAATCTAAAATAATTCATTTTCCAAAATAAATTCCTTTAAATTATTATAATTATCTAAAAATAATTCTTTTGCCAAATTAAATTGTTTTAATTCATTATAATTATTCTAAAAATTCTATTTATCATATTACTATGATATATTTAATATTCTTCATCAAACAATCCCACGCAGGTAATTATATCACAAACTAATCTATGTAATCAATAATAACATATATGAATATTAAAATAATAAATCGATAAGCAAGAGGGATCTTGCCTCAGGATTTTTGTCGAACGGATCAACGTTGACGTGCGAGATTGCGGCTCGCGGATGAGGCGACGACGACAGTGAAAGAGGGTAGCGGTGAGGAGCACAGTGTGGTGGAGTCGACAGAAGCTCGGGATTCGGGCGGTGATGGGGGCTGTAGTGAGAGGGAAAAGCTGTAGCGGTCGCCGATGGGCTTAGTGACGACGGTGAGGCTGGATTGTCAGAGCTCGGGACTGAGGGGTCTGGCAGCTCGCTGAGGGGGAGGGAGGCGCTAGTTGGTGAGGCGACAGTGGAGTCGGCGTGGGTGGCTAGCGGCTGTTGGCGCGGGAAAGAGAGGAGGGGATGGAGGCGACTGTTTAGGGGAGAGTTGGAGTGGCGACGTTGGAGGTTGATGGCGGAGCTCAGGCGGAGCTCAGGGGAGGAGAAGGGGGTAGTGACGGCGACGATGAAGGGGGAACAGGGTTGTCAGATCTAAACGGCGAGGAGGATGGTGACGACGTGGAGGGGGACTGGGCGGCGCAGTTAAGTTGGTGGCATGAGGGCGGAGGGCGCTGCTCGAGGGAGCTCGTCGGGGAGAAGACATGACCGACTCCATAGCGATGACGATGGGCTGGAGACGCGGCGATGGGAGGCTAGGGCGGAGCTGTAGGGAAGTGACCAGAAGAGGTGGTAGTCGCTTGGGGGGCATGGTGGTTGACTGAGTCGGGGAGACGGTGGCTGATGGGCATGGGTCTGGGCTGAGGGCGACGCGACATGACGAGGGGAGGTGGCAAGGGCGGAGGTCGGCGCTGCTGGGTGTTGGCTGAGGTAGAGGGAGAGATGAAGAGGGAGAGGAGAGAGAGAGAGAGAGAGAGAGAGAGAGAGAGAGAGAGAGAGAGAGATGAAGAGAGATTCGTGAGTGTGAGAGTGAGGACGAGGGAGGCTGTAGGGAGCGAGACACGAGGGAGGGGGAAACATGAAAAGGGATTTAGGGAGGAAAACACGGAGGAGTGGGGTAGGGAAGAGAGGGTGAGTTGTCGTGAGGTGTGGGGAAGAGAGAGAAATGGTTTACAAGTGAGAGAGGAAAAAACAGGGAAAAATACCCCTTTAAAATAATAATTTAATATTTAAAATACCAAAAATTTTATTCAAATCAATATTAAAAATTTATGGTCAAAATAATAATAACAATAATAATAATGAATAATTAAATATTAATTTAAAATGTTTTACCGAACAATTAAATTTATAATTAACAAAACCATTAAAATAATATAAAATCGTATTTTTAAATCATAGAAAATTCTAGAAAAAAATTGGGGAAAAATAAAAATACTCTTTTTGAAATAAGATTTTAATATTTAAATACTAGAATTTTTTTTAAACTCGTATTAGAAATTTATGATCATTACATCCTATCCCCCTTAAAACAAATTCCGTCCTCGGAATTTAAAATAAGAGTGATGCACAAAGAACCCAACGACAGAAATATAGAACAAGAGACTCAATTCGACTCGTACAGAGAAGGATTTAGGATAAACTGTATGTCCATAAGCAAATAGGAACGTAATACAAGAACGATACAGATAAAATACAAGATGTGACAGCTAAGATTCAGGAAACAGATGAGGGTATTGTTGTCGCATCTCAAACTCAGTCTCCTAAGTCGATAGCCAAGGGAATCTGGGTGCCACATCACACGAATAAGCGTGACAGTCTTGTTCTAGAAAGTCTTCTCCCTTCGGTCCAGAATCGCCACAGGTTGCTTCTCGTATGTCAAATCAGGTCGCACCTCAATCTCCGAGAATTCTATGATATGACTCGGATCTCCGACATATCTCCGCAACTGAGAAACGTGGAATACGTCATGTACTCTAGCCAATGTGGGTGGTAATGCAAGTTGATACGCTACTTCTCCAACTCTTTTTAATACGTCAAAAGGTCCCACATATCGTGGACTCAACTTCCCACGCCTTCCAAAGCGAATAGTACCTCGGTTGGGGAAAATCTTTAGGAACACATGATCTCCTGGCCGAAACTCCAAGTGTCGACGCTTTGCATCAGCCCAATGCTTGAATCAGTCCTGCACTCTGCGAAGTCGCTCCCGAATGATCCTGACAGCATCAACTGACTTGGCAATCAATTCGGTCCCAAAAATCTCTCGCTCACCAACGTCGTCCCAACTTAAAGGAGAGCGGCAATTCCTCCCATACAATGCCGCGAAAGGAGCCATTCCAATGTTAGTCTGGAAACTGCTGTTGTATGCAAACTCCACCAGATGCAGGTGATCTTCCTATGATCCGTGAAAGTCAAGCATACAAGCTCTAAGCATATCCTCCAAAATCTGAATGGTCCTTTCCGATTGTCCATCGGTCTGAGGGTGATAAGATGTGCTGAAACTGAGACTGGTCCCAAGACTCACCTGCAAACTCTTCCAGAACTCTGAAGTAAACCGGGTATCGCGGTCCGAGACGATGCACACTGGAACTCCGTGCAATCGTATGATCTCCTGTAATACTAGGGATTTACTAAAATTCTTAGGAAAAGGAACTCATCGAAATATATAGAGATAAATATTTTACCTCCATATCTCTGTACAAGATGCTCCGTCGACTATCCCACTCGGAATGGAATGAAGTGAGCCGATTTGGTTAATCGATCTACGATCACCCAAACAACATCATTCTGTCTAGTGCTCCGAGGTAAGCAAGTAACAAAGTCCATGGTACATGTTGCCACTTCCACTCCAGAATAGGCAACGGCTGCAGCAGGCCTGCGATACGCTGATGCTCTGCCTTCACCTGCTGACAGACAAGGCACTTCGCCACACTGCAAGCAACGTCTCTCTTCATACCATGCCACCAAAAATTCAGCTTCAGGTCCTTGTACATCTTCGTGCCTCCAGGGTGAATAGAGTACGGTGAGCTATGAGCTTCTCGTAATAATTCCTCTCGAACATCTCCTTCTGGCATGCAGATACGACTCCCAAATCGTAAGGACCCGTCCTCGTGGATAACAAATTCTGGCCGAAGACCAACTGTTACTAATTCCCTGCATCTCTGAAGAAATACATCACCTGACTATGCAACCTTGATTCGCTCGACCAATGTCGATTGAATCTGAAGGCTCATTAAAGAAGCGGTGACTCCTGGAAGTATAACTTCTATACTCATATCCCTCACTTTCTGCTGAAGTCTTCACTGAGCTGTGAGGGTCATGATTGCCGACAAACGGCTCAAAGCGTCCGGCACCACATTGACCGTACCAGGGTGGTACTGAAGATCGATGTCGTAGTCTGCCATCAGCTCTAACCATATGCGCTATCTCATGTTGAGCTCCTTCTGCGTGAAGATGTACTTCAAGCTTTTGTGGTCAGTGAACACCTTTGTTTGCTCTCCCAACAAATAATATCTCCAAAGCTTGAGAGCAAAACCCACAGCTGCTAACTCCAGGTTATGGGTAGGGTAATTCTGTTCATTCTTCTTCAACTGACGAGAGGCATACGCTACCACATGACCATCCTACTGGAGAACGCATCCTAATCCTCTTCCAGATGCGTCGCAGAATACTTCGAAGTTCCCACTCTTGTTTGGTATTGTCAAGACCGGGGCTGAGATCAGTCGAGACTTCAACTCCTCGAACGCCTGCTTATAAGCGTCGGACCAGACGAAACTAATATTCTTGTAAGTCGCGTCATCGACTCTGTGGTCTTCGAGAAATCCTTGATGAAGCGTCGATAGTACCTAGCTAGCCACAGGAAGCTCTTAATGTCAGATACTGTCCTAGGGGTAGGCCAATCCCTAATAGCAGATACCTTCTCCGGGTCCATAGATACACCGTCTCCTGACACCACATGTCCTAGAAACGCGATACGATCTAGCTAAAACTGGCACTTACTGTACTTGGCGAACAACTGATGCTCTCTCAGGGTCTGCAACATGTACCGCAAGTGTTCTGCATGCTCCGCTTCACTCTTGGAGTATACCAGGATATCGTCAATAAAAACCTCTACAAACTTGTCCAGCACGTCGTAGAACACCAGATTTACCAAGTTCATGAATGTCGCCGGCGCGTTAGTCACACCAAATGGCATCACTAAGAACTCATAGTGTCCGTATCTCGTACGGAACGCACTCTTAGGAACATCAGAGTCTTTGACTTTCACCTGGTGATATTCGCTCCGCATATCCAACTTAGAAAATACTCTCGATCCTCCTAACTGGTCAAATATATCATCGATACGAGGAAGATGATAATTATTCTTCATTGTCACACCATTCAGCTCCCGGTAGTCGATGCACATACGCTTGGATCCATCCTTCTTATTCACAAGCAATACAGGTGCTCCTCAGGTCGATACACTAGGTCGTATCAAACCTCTCTGCATAAGATCATCCAACTGAGTCCGAAGCTTGGCCAACTCAGCTGGAGGCATACGATAAGGGGTCTTAGAGATCGGGGCAGTACCAAGCTTCACTTCTATGGAAAACTCGATCACCCAATCCAGTGGCAACCCGTAAATGTCATCGGGAAATACATCTTCAAATTCTTGAACTACAATTGGCTTTTTGGGTTCCACCTGCATGGCGGCAAATGACGCCTCCTTCGGTCTAGCTTTGTGCTTCATAGGTCCGGCCGAGATATTACCATTGAGGAATTCAAACCTTGGGTGATCCAGTATCTCAAATACCACACTCCGACAGTGACAATCGATAGTGACGAAGAATGTCCCTAACCAATCCATTCCAAATACTGCTTAGAAGTTTGGCAAATCAATCACCAGGAAATCTGCAAAGAGCTTTCTCCCGCTGATGATCACTGGGCATGCTTCATAACCATTGGATGCTACTAAAACACTATTGTCAGTGTTGATATTCTAGCCCGTAGTCAAAGGAGTTATAGGAAGAGAGTGGGTGGTCGCGAAGCGACGAGATAAGTAACAATGGAAAGCTCTTGAGTCAAAAAGTGATAAGGTAGGAATGGAAAAAACAAGAACCTTGCCTAGTGCAGAAGAAGAAGAACACAATTAAGTTAGCATTCATAAACAAATCCTATCATAATATCATCAGGCAATACTAATTAAGGAAATATCATATGCAAGCAAAACTGAGAATGAACAACTCTTACCAGTAATGACCTGATTATTTGCCTCAGCTTCCACAGCCGTCATCATGAATGCTTGACGCTGTTGTTGCTATCTTCACGCCTCCTAAAAAACTGGCTCTGCGGAGGGAGAGGCCCTGCTCGGGGATAGGGTCCCTGCTGAGCCGGTGCTACTAGGGCAGGTCGAGGTGGGGCTGCAAGAGCTGCCCGAACTGGAGGTGGGGACAAGTGGGCTTGTTGTCGCTGTGGATAGTCCTGGCTGACATGGTCGGGGGATCCACAAGTGTAGCACAGATGAAGACGCCTACGACACTCTTACTGCGTATGCCCAGGGTGGCCACAATAAAAACACTTTACCGAAGGTTGGTTGCGAGTCTGCACTCCAGGATGCTGATAGGGGTGGCCCTGAGGAAGTGGCTGTCGCTGGGAAAACTAATGTCTTTGCGGAGCCTGCTGCTCTGATAGGGGTGGCCCTGAGGAAGTGGCTGTCGCTGGGAAAACTAATGTCTTTGCGGAGCCTGCTGCTGCTTCGGAGGGGGACGCTTAACTTTCTGGGCTAGGGCCACTGGTGGTCTGCTGTGGACCACATGCAGATCTTCGTATTCCTTCTGAACGCTCTCGATCTCGCGAGTTGCGTCCAACACGGCATCATGAGTCGCAAGTGTCCTACCAGCCAGATAAAATCCGATGTACTTATCCAGACCATTTTGGAACCGATGCCTCCTGATGGTAGGGTCAGTAACTAGGTGAGGAGCATACCGACTAAGAGAGGAGAACCCAGCCTCGTACTCATCAACTGATCGACCTCTCTTCTTGAGCTCGACAAACTGACGAAGAAGCTCGTCTCTGGCAGACTGGGAGAAAATACTTCCTGTTGAAGCGCTCTGTGAATGTCTCCCATGAAATCGGACTCACAAGATGGGTCTTCTCGACCGTCCACCAAATCCGTGCAGTATCAGTGAGCTGGACATTCATAAGATCTACCCACTCTACAGGAGCAATACGGGTCACCGTGAGAATGGTCTCAGTAACCTTAATGAACTCATGTGCTGCTAGAGGTCTGCCAGCACCAGAGAAGGAAGGAGGTCGCATGTATCGAAATTCCCTAACACCAGGCTCTGTGCGAGGGAGAAGCTGGTGAGGCTCCCACTGCAATTGTCCAGCCAGATGCTGCTGATTCGTCGCCAATCCCTGAATCATTGCCAGGAGTTGGCGCGAGTCCACTTCGGGCGGTGGGTTACTACTACCGGACTGGTTACCGTTGCTACGTGTACCCACCATAGTTCCGAAAGAAAGGTGAGAATCAAAACCGTTAGAGGAAGAATAAGAAAATCGTAGTCAAAATGGAAATTGAGTAAGGTAAGGACGAAAAATATTTTATCAAGATAATAAGATAAGGTTCAAGTATACTATTACGGATGAAATATGATATGCGTCTAAATTATCCATTATATTCTCACTGGTGAGAACTCGGGACCGTGATCTGCATGGCTCACCACTTAAACCTATCATGCCCCACTTCCAAAATACCGGGGAATCGAAACATGAACAAGCCCGCGACGTATTAGGCTGAGGAGAAATGTACTATAATTTTTACTTAATCTAATACACTAAGCGTTAAGCAATATAAAATGAAGTCACAGGTTCCCGATCACAGTAGCAAGAATATAATAAACAACTCAGAACCAAAAGATACATATCACAACTGAAATAATCATCCAGACATAATATTCGGACCAAACATGCCCTTATACAAAACTATTTGAATAAAATGCTGGAAAAATATAAAATACATCGATAAGGCGAAAATAAAAAGTACTGCAAAAGTAAATTAGGGTCATCAACTAACTAAAAGAGATAACCAAGCTTCGACTTGTTTTTCTGTTCCGTTTGCAAAGCCTTCCTGCGGAGGATTCTCTGGCTCTTGTACTACTCCGAACTAAAGTTGTCCATCTTCTAGATCTGACGTACAACCCGAGAGAATAGGAGTACGTTAGTGTGCATGACACACAGCAAGATCCCACAAGGAAGAATAGACACGATCGAACGATCAAGACAAAAACAGTAATAATAATAATAGAAGTATGCTAATGGGATACTAATAATCTAAATGCAATCTATCACTAGAATATAATAATCAGAAGAATCTAAGAAAATCAACCAAGTAACAAAATTATCTAAGTAACAAGGTCATACAACAAGATGAAATTAATACTTAAAAATCTATAACAAGAGACGTAGTACGTCGAGTGAAATAATCTAAACAAGAAAAACCTCATATATATACCATATGTCTCAAATTATAGATAGTTAAATATTAACTTCGATCTATATATGAAAAGAAATACAACTGACCTACATCTCACAAGAATTCATACTTAGCCAAAAAACAAGGTCAGGTAACTAGCCATCCTATAATAGGTCACTAGCTCACATCTCACATAGAGTCAACGTTCATATTATCGGATAACTGACTATTAACAAATCCCCTACATGCATCCAGTAGGACTACACGCAATCGAACTCTGGCCTGGTCTAAACTCAAGTCGTCTCGAGTGAATATAAAATTCACGGACCAAAGTAGCGACACCGATCTACTTTGACCCAACAAACCAACCTCAGTGGTGACATCGATCCACTGGTGCGAGCCTAGAAGATATATCAACAGCCTTATCCGATTACATGAACAGAGACTTTCTCACCCTAACATCTCTTGTATTTCTAAGTCAACAATACACAAGCGAGGAAAGAGAGGAGGGGATGGAGGCGGCGGTTTAG